TAACATCAACCGGGACTCGGGCCAAGATTTGGGAAGATGTTCCAACAGAAAGGCGTTGTTGAGCTACAAGAGATGAGGAGGCCTGACTGACATTTGCGATTTAACGGCTGGCCCAAATCACGTGGAGCTAAAAAATTGTGCCAAGCAACGAATCGATTTTATATCTTCTGACAAATGAGGTTGTGAACGATACGTTCTGTGTGCAAGAAACTTTAGATTTCAGCTGTCAGAAAGAGAAGAAACATCGCCAGATGCAAGAAGTATAGCCAGTCATAGATGAGGACGGCGATCTCCAAGCTCATTGTATCCAGCGAAATGGCTAGGCTAAACACAAGGACAGCCTAAAGAGTCTAATGCTTTCCTTCAATAGTCGGAACTAGTCGAGGGGTATGGGTTTCTACAACGGCAATGATCCGGTGTGGGTTTACCTTTTTATTGCAGCCTTCCTAAACCCACAGAAAATTTGTTATGATTAGATAAGGACAAAAACTTTCCAAATCTTTGATCGCTACTGTAGCGTTCAAAGAAAGGGGTTCAAAAAAAGATTCACTATGCCCATGGCTCATATCAGCAGGGTTCCCGTGAGAAAATCCTTCGGAAGACTTCGGTGTGAAAGGTTGATGTAGGTTTTTTTTTGATATTTGGAATATGCTCTTCAATATTCACTCAGGAGCATTTGATTTGCTTATTTGAACCTCAAAAATGAGCTGCACAGGAAGAAGGTCTTCTACTTAACGCAGAGAACAACAATCAAACAGCCACACATCCGACTGACTCCGGGACTAACTAATGCGCACGTAATGCCACTGTTGAATTGAAGGAGGAAGCCAAAAAGCACATTTTGTCTCCACATTAAAACTAAATTAGTCACAACCAAATAAGGGTGTCCCTTGGCCTGCATCTCATGATGCGCCTAAACTTTAAAAGAGTGCCTGACTTCACACAGCTAATCGGACATCCGGTGATGAGCATCGCGCTTCTCAGGAAAAGCATGAAGAAGCGAAACGACTGCAATACCCGGTTGGCTCGAGAAAGGTGACCAGAACGCTGGAGTTTCTAAACACAGCCATGTAGAGAGTGGTCGGATAACAACTGCTCACAGTCCATTATAAGTTGCATAAGCACCACTGCTCAATCCAACGGGAGGAGCACAGCAGAGACAAAAAGTTCAAAGAGCTGGTGTCGAGGGCCGAAAATGGCGATTACGCGGGCACCGTTTTCATCGACGACAAAATTCCTCACATGGAGCGGAGCTACAATCTTCAAACTCCGAGGATGCCCGCATGAGGTCTTGAGGAAGTCAGTGAGAGTGAAAGGAATATTCGCCACAAGCAGCAGCCGAACCTTATCATGTCTGGATTATAAAGGAATACAACTTGATACTAGACCGAGCCAAGGGACATTTCGGTGCACCATCTGTTACTGAGGTATCTAGCCACTTTGAGGAGGGGTGATGATCTTTTCAATAGGACCCAGCTTCTGCATAGGAGGCAAAAGTTCAGGAGCGCTGTTAAGGCACTCTTTCCGATTTCACATCCTCGAACGAATGGCTCTCCTATCCCTTGATTTCAGCGTGCTGGACCATCCTATGTGGGCTATGTTAGAGGGCAGAGCCTGCACTAAACATTGCATC